GGGGCGCGGGGCTGGAGCCTGTGCCCCGCACTGCAGCAGCGCTGCTCTCCCTCCTGTCGTGCCCGGGCTCTGCCCGGCCCCGCGCGGCGCTGGCGGCTTTGCTTTCGGGCTTTGAGTTCTGGGTAGTTTGGCACTGAAATCCGCGGCAAACGTGCAGCTTCTTGTCGTGTGCGTTATTTATCATGGTCCTAACTCCTCATGTGCTTGTATTCCTCTTGAAGGAGGGTATTGATATTGTAGTTTTTGATGAGAAATAAAGCTTTAGCTGTGCTCATTGCCTTGCCTGTAAGCCCTGCTGCCGCACTTGAAGGAACCTGAGCTTTTATCCTTTGTTTCCACACCTACTATTAAGGGATTCTTTTTCTGTTGGAACAGAGGGTGTAAAGATTTCAAAACAAGTGCAAAGATGACACACAAAGAATTACACTCGTTCCTTTTAGAGTATTGTAAAAGTGGTTTTACCATGTGCTCGTGCAATGCAAAAGAGAAGAGAGGACTATATGGATGATGAGCAGTTGTTGTGACAGTCCAGCTCTAGAACAATTGCAGTTCTTTTAATGGGATTCATTTCCTATCTTTATCAGGATAATTTCACTTAGTATATTTTACTCTTGTGTTCGTGTGTTCTGCTCCTGTAGCCCCAATTCTCCCAACAGTACATTTTTTCTAGTGAGCAGATTAGAGCTACCACTCTACTTGGGGAAACATGGCAAAACCAAAGTGCAGGTTGCAAAACCCAGGGCCTGGCTAGAGCCACACTTCAGGCAGGAGTCAGAAGGGCCACTTTTGTTTGTGTATGGCATGTGTGTTACAGGCACACAGTCTACGTGTATAAGTATAGTTACACATATATGTGACTTCTTGGGGAACTGTTACTTACGTTGGTGAGAAGATGGATGTCATTCAAGTGTAAGTGGCAGTGGGGATGGCGAGGAATGTGCCTGCAGCTGCTGGGTGTCTGAGCACTGTATTCTTCCTCCTCTCTCCATGCCGTAATGTATAATGTATAAACCTGATGGTTTCTCAGCGAACAGCTGATGTAGTGAAGTGTTCAGTGCTAGATCTAAGTAGAAGACAAACAAAAGTGCTTCCCTGCGTTTTACACTTTTACTGTCAACAAATACTGTACAGACAAGTTTGGGTACAGCTGAGACTGGTGGCCAGGTGGTGAATTCCAAAACAGCTCAAGCTTTGAATGCCTTCAGGGAGAGAACTTGACTGAGCAAAAGAGAAAGGGCTGTAATTTTTCAGGCAAGGCATTAGCTGCCAGAGATGAGCTTCTGAGATATTTGGCTATTTATTTTATTGAGATATTTATGTCTAATTAATAAAAGGTTGACCATTAACCAATTCTGTATATAACTAATTACATTGGATGACACTCCTTCACAATGCTAAAACCTCAAAATCAATCTCTTTTTACGAGCAGCATCTTACTAAAGACTGTGGGAGAATATTTTACCAAAGAAATATCCACACAAGGAGGAGTAGTAAGAATACCCCATTACAGGTTTCCTTTCATTCTTATCTGTAATGCAGCTTTAGGCTAACCAGAAGAGTACAAATGTTTGATGCTTTCTCAGATCCTGCTCTAGTTCATTTATTTAAATGTCATTTGCTGCCTGTGTGCCAGCCAGCTCTTACAACTGCCTCGGTTAGCCAAATGTCATCTGTGTCTCACAGTGTGAAGTGTAATTGCATATTTAAAAAGTGGGAAGGGGAAGTGAAAAGAGGAGCTGCTTTGGCTTTTACTCTATTGGACAAGTACTTGAAATTCCTCACATTCTTCTGCTGTTAACAGTATGTTTACTTTTCATCACTGGGTTATTAGGATTAACAAAAGTCATTGCTTCAAGCTCATTTAATTTGAATTTAGTGAAAGCAAACTACCTCCTGCAGACTGTAGGAAACATTCTTCTGCCACAGAAATGTATTAATTTGCAAAAAGCAGCCACCAAAAAACGTGAGACCTGACGACCACTTCCACCCCAACGTTCAACATCACCGTGCATGCACTGCATTCTAATGAGGTACCTTATGTCGCAAATTCCAGGATGGTTTGAATAATCTGACAGTCTAATTAACATTTCAGTCTATCAAACATTTGCTTTCAATGCCAAGCAGCTCTTTCTGTGTATACTTTCTAGAGAGTGAGGTTGCAGGCTGCAGACACCACTTCAAAACATCATTTACCCAAAGAATTAGACTCAGCTTTCGAGTCAGTTGCTGCATCTGTAGTAGAGCTTGTTTGAACTTTCAGAGAATCTAAGCTTTTCAGAAGTCGAAGGTTTCACAGAAACCTCTGGCAGTTGCTGTATATTGAAGTCTGTGGCCTATGAGAATGCTCTACTAAGAGTAGTTAGGTAAATATTTCTTTATTAAATGATTAATTCCATAAATAAATTCTTTTAATTCATTGAATATAAAATTAAAATCATTTACAACTTATTCCAGTATTACAGGGGCTGGAAGGGGTAAACAAAAAAAAAAAACAACAAAAAACAACTCAAAGGAAACAAAACAAAATGCTAGTTTGATAAATAAAATACTCAGCTTTAAAACAACTGATTTCTGTTTGCCATTAAACTACAGTTGGTACATAATAGCTGCCACTGTGAACACCCCACAAGTGCCCACCTCAGGAAGGAATGTAACTTCCAACTTGGTTGGGAAAGGGTGGGAAAAGATTGGAGGGAGGGGGAGACAAGCATAGTGTTAAACTGAACAGGATAGAAAAGTTTTCATAACCAGAACAAAACATTTATCTGATCACTTACAAACAGAAAACAGTATATAATTAGATAAGGTGCTCCAAAAAGAAGCAGTAAAGTTGCTCCAGTACTATGAAGCTTTAAGTATGCTTAAATCTCTGTTGCATTAGTGTCCAGTTGCACAGTGCACTCTTGTAACATCTCAATGTTGCCCTCAAATGGGCAAGGCACCATTTCCATCAAAAGTCCTTTCTCCATGGCTGGTTACTTCAAAATTCTGTTTTGCATCCCACCCCCAACACAACTTAGTCCCTAAATTTGTGAATGTCGTTGACAAGTCTGTAGTAGGGATAAGCCTCATTCGCATGTGGACAGTTGTAGTTGCATCGGCAGGACTGGATCATCATGACACTCTTGGTGAAGGTTTCCCCATCGTCGCAGCGGAACCTGATCTTAACAGTCCTGGTCTGCTGGGGTGTACAGCACCTGCCATCCACGCAGGAGCCACAGTACTTGGGGCGGTACTTCTTCACACTGGAGCATCCAGCGTAGGTGAACTTCACAGGGGATGGGGACTTCCTAGTCTTGGTACACTTTTTTCCCTTCTGTAAAGGAAAGGCAATACCATTATTAGCAGGAGATTCTTCTCCAGCCTTTACCCCCTACCTGAAGCAGTTTAGAAAGAAGACGAACAGCAGAAGAGTCTGTATTTACCTTTAGGGAGGTGTAGCTGGGCTGGCCACATGGCCTCACTTCGCATATCCTGGTCTCTTTGATGAGCTTGCAGTCGGGATTGTCGTTGGTCACCCTTGTGGAGATGCCGGTTCCACATGTCTTTGAGCACTGGGACCAAGAGGTTGTTTGCACAATGCATTTGGGATTCTCAAAAGCTCGGCTCTGTGGCTCGGATCCAAACACTGGAAAAGAAGAGTAAGGCTTAGCCTAAACATTCTCACGCCGAGTTTCTGTCTTTCCATTGGGGTACAAGGAGTCATGCAGCCACCCTCTGGCCTCCTCCCCTTAACTGTCACCCAGATAAACCCACACTCACCAGGTAGCATTTTCAGGCCTCCCTTCACAATGGCAATTAGCTCATTGTTCCTGGTTAGTTCGCCTTCGGAATCATCCGGACCAAACTCTTTGCTGAAGAAGCCTTCCAGCTCCTCCAGTGCATCCTTGCTTTCGTCACAGACCCACTCCTCGCAGCACTGCCCGGGGACTTTGACCAGCCTGGGGCTGGGGCAGCCCAGGTTGGGAAGAGAGAGCTCCTGCGGGCAGAGCGGGATGCAGCCCACAGCTCCATCTATGCACGTACACTGGTGTTTACAGTTCGGCTGGAAGCTCTCGCCGTTCTGGTAGATTTTGGAGTTGTATTCACACGGTCTTCCCTCGGACTGTGCTGCAGAAATCAACAGGGAGGGAAGGGAGGGAGTCAGCGGCGGGAATCGCTGGTTCAAGCGCAGGTATCCGCCGGCCCGTTAGACTCGGTGTACGGCGGAGCTCCCTACAACCCCCCGGGGACGCGGGGCCAGAACAATAACTTAGTCAGGAATCACTTTTCCTTATGTGCGTTTAGCGGAGCCCAGACATACTGAATCGCATTCCAGACCGCTGAAGTCATGTGCCTTTCTGCCAAGCTACCGACAACAAAGCATAACCATACATGGGCTCGAAATTACC